GATTTGTAGATACATGACTACTATGTGACTAGATTTGTATTTTCGTTAAATGATTTGTAATGTTATACATGACTACTATTTGACTAGATTTGTATTTTCGTTAAATGATTTGTAATGTTATAAATTCATTTAGAATCTTGTAAATTGATTCGTAAACATGTAAATAAATTGTAGCTTTTATGAATTGATTTGTAGATACATGACTACTATGTGACTAGATTTGTATTTTCGTTAAATGATTTGTAATGTTATAAATTCATTTAGAATCTTGTAAATTGATTCGTAAACATGTAAATAAATTGTAGCTTTTATGAATTGATTTGTAGATACATGACTACTATTTGACTTGATTTGTATTTTCGTAAATTGATTTGAAATGTTATAAATTAATTTAGAATCTTGTAAATTGATTCCTAAACATGTTAATAAATTGTAGCTTTAATGAATTGATTTGTAGATACATGATTACTATGTGACTTGATTTGTATTTTCGTAAATTGATTTGAAATGTTATAAATTAATTTAGAATCTTGTAAATTGATTCCTAAACATGTTAATAAATTGTAACTATAACTTATGTTTCTATAAATAAATTGTTACTTTTGTAAATTAATTTTAAACTTTGTAAATTGATTTAATGCATTGTAAATTGATTTGGGATTCTAGGTTTAAATTCTTTAGAAATGATTTTTGAGGGTAATGGCTTGCCATAGTTAAGCTCTATAGGAACGATAAATGCTGATGCCCAACGAAAACTATCATCAGCGCCACCATATCTACCTCATGAACAGATAATTGATTAGATCTTAGAATTTCACGTTATTTTCGAATCGTCGTCATCTTCATCAGTGGCTGTTGGTTGTACCCATAGATATCATATAGCATATAATATATAACATATAACATATAATATATATGTTATATGATATCTATGATTGTACCTAGACTCGAGATGACCAGCCTCTGTGAAAGCCGCCATGACAGTCACGTGACGCATACCACAACCAGCAACCGATAAAGACCATCATGGGTTAGTGGATTATACCATATCATGGATTCATATCGTGTATTCGAATAAACATTAGATCTAAGATAACAACCATCCTTATACATCATCGTATATGATTATCCCATCTGTACATCAGTGCTGCCGGCATTCAGTACTCTTTATTAGTGGTAATTGGCTGAAAGTCTCTATATTAGCTGGCTTTGCGGCTACAGTGTACTCTGCTAGCATCGGCACGTAGAAGGGCGTATAAGGTCAAATCTCAAAGACCGCGTAAGCAAGCAAACATTTTCTTTGGCGTCCTCAAGCCGGCACAGGCACTGTGAAACGTAGTTAACAAGAAACGCGAAACGAACCAGATGCTTAGAAACAAGCTGTAAAATTGGCGAGGCTTTCACTTGGTGCAGATGAAGCTCTGGGAGAGTATCAGTGAGTGTGAAAGAGTGCTGTGGGATTCGATTTAGAGAACTGAAATTGCAGTTTCTACCAAGTGCCAGCTAACATTTAATCTAATGAAGACATTCATGCATCAACCGTCTGGACAGAATTTAGTGCTGAATTCGTAAGCGAATCATTGTTTTAAAAAAGTCACCCATGTTATCACACACGACAATTCTTCATTCCAAATAACTGAATATCGATATTTGTTACATTTATGATTTTGGAATGACGCATTTTGTTTTTGTTTTAAAATGTCGACCATGTTATCAGTAACAATGGACGCTGACCACACGACGATTCTCAATTCCACGTGACTGAATATCGACATTTGTTATATTTATGAATTTGGAACGACAGATTTAGTCGCAATTCATCAATAATGAACAAACGTGACGTTTACGTCCACATGGATTGATTTCAGATTTAATATTGCGACCGAAATCGTTATTCGAGATGTCAAACCAAGATGCACTTTATTTGTGGTCAAATACAAATGCTAGTCGAAGAGACAATGTACGAGGATGCTGCAGCTTTGCAGGCTGGCACCCATCGTTAGACTCACCCACACACACGCGTCAACGCGCACGGTATACTGGGAATGGCGACCGCCTATGGTTGACCATCTTACTCAAAAATAATTATTTTTAACCACGGTATAAATATTTTAACTTTTTTATTATTGCCCATTTACGCAATCAGAGGCCTTTTTACACATAATTTAACCGCAGTAAAACAATTTATCCGCGGTTAAATTATGTGTAACAACGCATCTGATTGGGTAAAAGGGCTATAATTTTACTGCGGTTAAATTATGGCCATTTTTACCCAATCAGGGGTCTTGTTACACATAATTTAACAGCGGATTTTTTTTTTACCGCGGTTAAATTACTATGGGGCGAAAAGTAAAATCATACAGTGTTTGAACCTGAAGGATGGGGAGAACAAAGGGGGGAGATAGATGAATTTTCAAGAGTGTGGCACGAGCACATAGCTTAACACATATCGTTAGAACATCGCCCCTTAGCTACTTGCTCAATAGAGAGGAAATGCATC